CCCCCTCCCTCCGCTCTCCGCGTTCTTTTTTCCCCTCATCATCCTCAATTAAGCTAATGACACTCATCAAGGACATGTTTTTTCCCCCGTCATTATCAACATCGTCATCATTATCATCGTTTATCTATCCACCAGCATCTAAAGTAATGATCATTCCTTCACATTCTGTTACCATGTTCATGTTAATTTTCATCCTTCACATTTCCTATATCTTCTCCCCATCCTCTATAAGGCAATAGATAAATGAATAGATAGATAAAGAAGAAAATAGATAAATAGGAACGCGGCATCTGACCCCCACACAGCAGAGTGAAGCAACTCCTAATTTATTTGATGACTCTAAATCGCTCCAGGAAATAGCCCGTGATTATAGCTATGGGTGTCATTGTCGGCGTCCCTCTATGTCTCCCCTTGCAATTAACCTTTTATTAGTTTTTTTCTGACATGTGCCTCGTTATCTCTAGCTTGTCATTAATGTTATCCTGACAATCCTCTCAGCTTTGTTCTTTTTTTCCCGGTGATATATTGCTTCCTTTATATCCCGAAGCAATGGTCACACTAGTCTTATCTGTCCGGGGATCCCTAGACAGCCGTGCCGAGGGTCGTTCAGCTACAGAGCGCGACCGGTCACACTACGCTCAGTGTCTTCCGTGGAGAAGCATCGTCGTAGAAGAGATCAAAGCATCTGCTTTAACCTCCTGGATTTTCTACGCATCGAATGTACTCGTGGATTCTATGATTATCATCGTATATCGATATTGAAAAAAATAAAGAAAGAAGACACTAAATTGAGAAAAGACAATCCACCCATTTTATTAATTGTCATACATCATACAATAATGCTGGGTACCATATACCCCACATTTCAACAGGAGAAAAAACGATAGTATTTTCTCCGATAGCATATACCGCTATTAGTGTAATCAATAGTGCACGAGAGTTGTAAATATGGGGTAATAACAACTAATGTTTAGGGGAAGCAAAAACTATAACTGAAATTGAGTAAAATATTCGTCATTGTCGATCATGACAAAGCCTTGCCAGCCGTACGATTATACCCCATGTATGGTTAAGTTTCTTGTTGATTTCGTTCATTGAAGGCTAACATAGTGGCGCCGCTCTAGACAGATTCTTTTTTCGTTTCCCTTCACAGTTGGGGAAGTTTCCTGCTCTGTAAAGGGATCCCTGGACAAAACAGACTAATATGACCGCCCCTTTAATTACTTCCTCTCTCTTTTGACTCCTTATATCTTTTTTATCTCATTTCAGTTCATCAACTGGTCATATATGGTATGTTGATACTACTTAACTGTTTATTAACACCATTTGAAGCCATACATTTTTCTTTCGCTTTGTTCGAAATCTGAGTGCACTTCCACAGCCTTTGTCTTCTCTGAGCATCTGAAAAAGACATGGATTTTTTGGCCCTTTCTCTCCCTCTTTGCGGGTCAGCTACGCTTTTGTCTGTTCATGCATTTTTTCTCATCTCTCTGTTCCTTTCTTTTGCATTTTTTTCTCGACGTGGGACTCGATTGTATTTGTGCTTTTTTCACTCATCACTTGCTTTCCATAACAGGCTGTAAGCACATCCGTGGACACGTAAAAAAAAGAAATAATTGAAACGCATGAGTGTGACTGGACAGTGTTACCTAAATATCTAAGAACATTTACATATTCACAGTCTAGATCATTGAATATGATTACGAGGAACGTTCAACACCATTTGATTATTTTGAGAAACGGCTTCAACTTCATCGCACAGAGTGACCCTCACACCCACGCCCATCTTCGTTCATGCACACTCTTCCATGCCAGATACACAAGCACGATTACGATGAGCCACATTTTGCAAAGGCCTACACACTCGGGAACTATGGTCTGTAGGTCGTATCAAATTCATGAAGCCGAAGAGATATGTGGAAACGATTAATTCGATAAACATTATTTCTGCTTATGAAAACGTAGAGGCAGATACAGTCAGAGTTGAAGCAAACATTCAAAATATAACCCAACCGGGTTTTAGATACAACAGAGTATGAATTTTTACACATCTACACACACACACACACACACACACACACACACACACACACACACACACACACACACACACACACACACACACACACACACACACACACACACACACACACACACACACACACACACACACGAGACAAAAAAGATCTTCAGTGATAATATTCCCTCCTCTCCTTTACTGTCTTTCGCCCCATTAGTCGAATTACGTTTCCGCCAACATCAAAAGGCATCAATCAAATTCCTGTGAACATCACACCTGCCACTTTTTCTTTACGTCATATTTCTCCTCTTTTCCTTCAACATAAAGCGATGTTGTCGGCCTCATGCCTACGGTGAGGCGACACTAATGCATAATTAAACATTTATTCTTCCTCGCAACTTTCGGCGCAGCTGCCGAGGAAGAGGCGGTCCTGCTGTGAGGAATGGCAGGCGGGAGTAAAGGATGCATGGGGACGAGATGTATGTAGGTGTGTGTATGTGTATGTATATAATTATATATATATACTATATGTATATATATATATATATATATATATATATATATATATATATATATATAGTAATATATATACATATATGTATATATATATATATATATATATTATATATATATATATATATATATATATATATATATATACATATACATATACATATACATATACATACACATACACACACACACACACACACACACACACACACACACACACACACACACACACACACACACACACACACACACATATATATATATATATATATATATATATATATATATATATTCATAAATATTTATATAGGATAGAAGTACCTCAATTAAGAAACAGCATAAAATACCTCCGGTATTGTACTCTAATAAAGATGACAATACTCTAATGCAGTTCAACATTTTATAAGAAAACAAAGAATTGAGAAGGAAGCAAAACTACAAAGACGCCAAAGGGAAAATACCAGAGAATCATCCTCGTGTTCCTCAGTTAAGAAAAATAAACGAGAACGACATCAAAGCGGAAGACGAGAAACCTACTTTGCTAGCAATGTCTTCCCCACTCCTCATCCCATCCTCTCCCTCCTGCAGGGTGAGCACTGGTTGAGTCGCCAGATGACAGAGGAGATCATAGTCACCCTGGCGCCGCTCCTGGAGAACAACCAGCCGTCGCCCGAAATCTGCCACTTCTTCAGCCAACACTGCACCGACAACCCGCGTTCTTGTCTTGTCATCGACATGTTCACGCCCATTATCAAGAGGATACTGAAACATAATGTGGTGAGTCGCGTTCTTGTCTGGTATCATGTTCACGCCCATTATCAAGAGGATACTGAAACATAATGTGGTGAGTCATCATGTTCACTGAGTGGTGAGTCGCGTTCATCATGTTCACGCCCATTATCAAGAGGATACTGAAACATAATGTGGTGAGTCGCGTTCTTGTCTTGTATCGACATGTTCACGCCCATTATCAAGAGGATACTGAATAAATCATGTTCACGTTATCTACTGAAACATAATGTAGTCGCGTATCTGTGGTACCATAATGTTCAGTTCACTTATCAAGAGGATACTGAAACATAATGTGGTGAGTATCATGTTCACGGAGGATACTGAAACATAATGTGGTGAGTCGCGTTCTTGTCTTGGTATCATGTTCACGCCCATTATCAAGAGGATACTGAAACATAATGTGAGTCGCGTTCTTGTCATCATGTTCACGCCCATTATCAAGAGGATACTGAAACATAATGTGGTGAGTCGCGTTCTTGTCTTGTATCATGTTCACGCCCATTATCAGAGGATACTGAAACATAATGTGGTGAGTCATCATGTTCACATATCAAGAGGATACTGAAACATAATGTGGTGAGTCGCGTTCTTGTCTTGTATCAGTTCACGCCCATTATCAAGAGGATACTGAAACATAATGTGGTGAGTCGCGTTCTTGTCTTTATCATGTTCACGCCCATTATCAAGAGGATACTGAAACATAATGTGGTGAGTCGCGTTCTTGTCTTGGTATCATGTTCACGCCCATTATCAAGAGGATACTGAAACATAATGTGGTGAGTCGCGTTCTTGTCTTGGTATCATGTTCACGCCCATTATCAAGAGGATACTGAAACATAATGTGGTGAGTCGCGTTCTTGTCTTGGTATCATGTTCACGCCCATTATCAAGGATACTGAAACATAATGTGGTGAGTCGCGTTCTTGTCTTGGTATCATGTTCACGCCCATTATCAAGAGGATACTGAAACATTGGTGAGTCGCGTTCTTGTCTTTATCATGTTCACGCCCATTATCAAGAGGATACTGAACATAATGTGGTGAGTCGCGTTCTTGTCTTGGTATCATGTTCACGCCCATTATCAAGAGGATACTGAAACATAATGTGGTGAGTCGCGTTCTTGTCTTGGTATCATGTTCACGCCCATTATCAAGAGGATACTGAAACATAATGTGGTGAGTCGCGTTCTTGTCTTGGTATCATGTTCACGCCCATTATCAAGAGGATACTGAAACATAATGTGGTGAGTCGCGTTCTTGTCTTGGTATCATGTTCACGCCCATTATCAAGAGGATACTGAAACATAATGTGGTGAGTCGCGTTCTTGTCTTGGTCATGTTCACGCCCATTATCAAGAGGATACTGAAAACATAATGTGGTGAGTCGCGTTCTTGTCTGGTATCATGTTCACGCCATTATCAAGAGGATACTGAAACATAATGTGGTGAGTCGTGTTCTTGTCTTGGTATCATGTTCACGCCCATTATCAAGAGGAACTGAAGTGGTGAGTCATCTGTTTCACAAGAGATCATATTCAATTTCATACTGATAATGTGGTGAGTCGCGTTCTTGTCTTGTATCATGTTCACGCCCATTATCAAGAGGAACTGAAACATAATGTGGTGAGTCGCGTTCTTGTCTTGGTATCATATTCACGCCCATTATCAAGAGGATA